CCAGAGCTTCAAAAGGGGCCTTAAAACATACCTTTTTAAGCTGTTTGGGCCGGACAGCTACTCATTGCTAACATTTTAAATTTTTTCGAACTGTACTTAATTTTTTAACTTGTTCCTTTTGTATAGAGGTATTATTACTGATTGTATAGTTTTGTCCATTTCTTTGTAAAGCGCCATGGCGCTGTATAAATAGAGTTATTATCATCATCATCATCATCATCGTCATTATTATTATTATTATTATTATTATTATTGTTATTATTATTATTAACAGGGAGAGATGTTTCGACGTTAACAAATGAGGCAATGTCTAAGCTTAGTACAACTTTGTACCGGTTGATCCGAAGCGTTTCACTACCGAGGCTGCAAAGAGCGTGACGTTCGCGGTTCGTTGGCGGTAACATGGGATACTGAAAAGAGGGAATTGCAACAAAGAGGGCGATTTTATCGAAATAAACACACTTACGTACTTATTGGTTGCACAGACTTTTGCGTGGAATGATTTGCGGTAGGAAAGAGGTTTTTAATTGATGATGTTGTTTGATAAACAAAGGAAATAAAGCACATGTGAAATTTCGATAACGGAAGTCTTTTTACGTCAGGCGAAGAGACAAAAAGAAACCGACTAGAGACGGGGCGTGGCTATAAAAATGGACCATTCACTAACAAATTATTATCAAACCTTTCCTAATAAAAGTGTTTTTAGGAGCCTTTCTTATATGCTCTGTTCTTGTGAAGTAGAGTCTTCACAAGCATTATTTACAGACAGTCGCTGGAAGACAGTTAATTTTCGATTAAGACGGAGCTTAATCAGGCGGGGTGCTATAATTAAAGTGTTATTGGGTTGCGTGATAGGTTTCCATGGCAATAATGTTACAATGTCACTAAACTAACCTGTGCGGTCACGAGTCATGCGGCCTAAGCTACAAACTTTCTGCAAAAATTGTTTCCAGGATAGGAGCTTATTAGCTCTCACACTCCTTAACAGACCCAGCCAGTTCTCAATGCATGCTTTCTTCAATCCATAGTTTCTCATGGTAATCAAATCAAAGAAAGAGTAGAGGATATTGACTGATTTGCTACCGACTCCTCAGAGAGAACATTAAAAGGAATTGATAAATTAATAAACATGTGCAATAGGGGTCTTACATGGGACTGATACCCGAGATTCAGTTGAATTCAAAAAAAGGTTTGAGTTACTACAACTCGATCAACAAATCATTTTCTTCTTCATCAACGTAATCTTATTCACGTCGAGAGGAAAAGTAGTTAGGCCAAAGTAAATTGGTTAAGAAGCCTGGTAAACATCAAAGTAGCAAACGAACAGGCTAAAGTTTACGTTGGAAGGTCCTTGACCCTGCACATCTTTTGTTTTATGCTCATTGACTATGCAATTACATAATCGCAATGCTTCTATTGGTTAGCTGTACGAGTACACATAACCACCTTTTTTATATTTTGCCAGGTTTTGTGTAGGGTTAACCCCCAAAATAGCCAACAAAAACATACAACAATGAACTTTGCCAGCCGGTTTCATAACCATTTCCCTCTATTAACAATGGCTAGGCTGATTTATAAGCCGGGTTGCCGGAACCCGGTCTAGCAGAAACGGTGTCTTGGAATGTGCCTCCCTCTGGCTGTGTTTCTAGCTATTTAGTTTTCAAACGAAGTTTTCCGGAATTGTATGAAATGAAAAAAGACCTATTTATCTTGAGACGACAACTGAAACTGGCTACTAAATGACGGTCAATGGGGAATCGCTATCAAGAGATGACTTTAAAAGGACCAAGTCCTACCATACATAACACGAATAGCTACAAACTGTCATTGGATTAAACCACCAGAACCACGAGTGGATCTTAATGTGAGAACACAGAGAAGAAGCACTGTGATACTGTTCCGTGAATTGTCTCTTGGTTGTGATTATGAACAATCAGTAATACAAATAAATAGCCCGTGACTAGACTTGAATCATTTCCCTAACTTATCCAAGTTCCTATTGGATACACGATTCTTCCAATAGAAACGTGCGAACGCTTGACCATGGATTAACCTCAGCTTGGCCTAGTTTAATTACGAATAAACTGGTTTGGCGACTAACTCTTTGAAATCTAATTCATTTAGATACTGATAACAGGGAAGAAAGGGAAAACGATCAGAAAATATACGCAGTTTGGTGAACGAAATAGTTGCTCTGCACTGAAATATAAATACCGCACTAAAATCCTTGATTATGAAATGCCCCTGCCTAAATACAACCGGGTGGTGTATTAAGATGTAAGTCCGGTGGTTTTCCTCGATTCCCGGTTAGAAACTAATGCCGGAAATTTCTGTATTAAACTGTTGAACGTTTCTTTCCTTCAACGTCCAACGAGGTAAACTGCCGAGCCTCCCGTGTTTTTTGCTTGTTCTTTCATGTCGCCGACAACTCGCGGAAACCGGTTTGCTGAATGAATCATTTGATTTTCTAATCAAAATGTCCGGAATTTGAGGCGAATGGAAAGGGCCCTAAATTTAACATGCTGCGGTCGTTTCTCGTTCTGCAACTGTTCCTTGAAGGGGTCCATTCCTTGCAATAAGATTGCTGAGGAAAGATTATACTGATTTTTGTCACTAGCAAAGGAACATGCATGCGGTTAAATTGTGTCGAAAGCCGTGCAGGAAAACGGCCACGAAAGTTTGTCTCAAATAAGAAAATGCCAGTAGTTCACGTCTTATTAGAATTTTACCACATCCAGAAAACTAATTTCCGTAGTAGACCCTTTAGTTCAACAAGCAACTATCTCTTGCTCTGTAGTTGCTGAAGTGTTGTTGCGTCTTTCGATATTTTACCTGTGACCCCTCCCTGGTGTACTTGTACCGAAGGGCTCCTCAAAGATAGATCATGGCGTCATGGTCTCGAATGATTTAAAAGAGATTTCATTTCGTTTATTGAACTCTCTGATAAGGTTTTATTGCTAACCACCGTTATGTTGAGGCTTGAAACTCAAACTAACCATCCTGTTATCAGACTATACATCTAACTACTTATTTGATTTTATTACTGAATTATTTTGTTCAAAACACAAACGGTTTCTCTGGTAGAAAATATTTTTATTCGCTCGTATATTTCAAGAAAATATATTCAATTAGCTAATCACGAAGTCTCTAACATCGCCAGTCCAACTAAATGTGTTTCTGCAATGCAATATCTTAAAACATGCAGAAGTCGTATGAAACAGACTCGAAAAGACTGCAACAGGGATTGCGACCGACTCGCACATCCTTCCCTTTTCGTTCTAGACCTGGAGCAATGCAGTGTATATACATTTCTTCAAAGCTGCATGGATCAAGAAGTTTTGTATGACTTGCATAAGCAACTCAAATGTTCTTTTTTCGTTCTGGAGCTAAAGATATATCATTTACAAAGTTATATGGAGAAAGCAGTGTTGTATAAGCTCTCCAGTTTCGAAAAATACATGGACACCCTAATGCTGGCTTATAAACCAAGAAATTCACGCAATGCTATGTGAAAGATTTTTTTGTAATCGTAGCAACCAATATAATTATTTTCCACGCTGTAACTAATATTGTTCGGAAATCCGCCATTCCTTCGCTCTGCTCAGTTGATTTTACGCCATTTAGAGAGTACCCAGACAAGGCGCTCTACGTAGCCCAAACTTGGGCTCAAAGGCTCAAAGGGAATTTCTTTGTCTTTGGGAAATCCCTCAGCTATCATGGAGAATTAAGTGGTAGTCATAGATGTACATGAATGAAACACCATTTATACTTGTGGTTTATCCTCGTCAGAGCTTGTGCTAAGTCTCTTGGTGATGGGAGCCTTCTTTTCCAATCGTTTTCCCTTGACACGTTTCCATTTCATTCGACGGTTTTGAAACCAGACTTTGACCTGTCGTTCCGTCAAGTCCAAACTCACAGCGATTTCGTATCTTCTGAGCCTTGTCAAGTAATTATTCCTCTGAAATTCGTTTTCCAGTTCCTGTATTTGATGTTTAGTGAAAGCTGTTCGTTCTTTTCTTTTCTTTCCGGTAGATTTTCCGGTTTTTGCAGCTGCAAAAGCAACAAGAATAACATAATGAAGGGGTAATCTGTTGTTCCTCGAAGCGCTAGACTGAGGCCCTGTAACTAGTGTAAAACTGCCAACATGCGACAAAAAAGCCTTCAAACAGCGACAAGGAGGTCCATTAAATGACGACGAACGACATGACTTGCGTTGGAATTCCTAAAGCGATACGAGGACCTTCGGAATTTGCGACACGAAAAAGTTTGAAATTCAGACGAAGGATATCTACAACCACCATAACAGGGCTTCCATACTAACACTGACATTTTTCTCATTTTGTTGCAGAAATAAAAGAAAATGATAATTAGATTAACTTTGTTACCGGTAGACTAGAAAACAAACCACAATCTGATGTCCAGATTTGAGAGCAATTTTCAACCGCACTCTGTCTAAGCGTCTTAGTGATTCCCTGAATTGGTTTTCGTTACCAGTTCAGTTTTACTTAGAAAACGAATTTTCTTCGTTTAGCTCATAATAGTCTAAAATTTTCGTGGGAAGAAAAAGCCTTCTAAATTTATCGGATTTAACAACTTTTAGAAACATCAAGCTGGGAAAAACATTTTCTTCAGGAAATCGCAGCGCAACCTTCGCGGATGTGGACTCCAACTTGACCCTGCCGAAACTTTTGTTCAATACTGAATCGGCAGATGCAAAAGCTGCTGTGACTAATAAATTTCCCGCATAAATCTCACAAAAGCTAATCGCTTTAGAGATTTTTACTCTAGCTGAGTTTAATGACTGTATATTTCATCTATGCAATCAGTATTTTTCCCCTTAATTCTACCATGTTTCCTCATGGACAGATTAAGGCGGCCTTGGAACATAATCGCGCAGGAGCTCCCAACTCCTTTAAGTGAGATTGCGTCAGGCTGGTTATTTAGCTGATATTTCAAATGAAANCTACCATGTTTCCTCATGGACAGATTAAGGCGGCCTTGGAACATAATCGCGCAGGAGCTCCCAACTCCTTTAAGTGAGATTGCGTCAGGCTGGTTATTTAGCTGATATTTCAAATGAAAAATGCAAACGCCTTTGAAGAATTTCATGACGCTGGTATTGCGTGAAAATCTGACAAAGGAATAAGGCTGGGTTATGATAAAGGGGAAAATGTATAAGGGAATGCAGACAGATTTAGTATGGCAACATGGAGACTAACGAGTGGGCTCGCCACCTTGCACAAACGACCGTTCTGCTTCCGGTTGCCATTAAACTGCAACGAATCATATAAAATAACGTTCATCACCGTGCGGTGCTCCTGCTGGAAAGTTCCCAGGAGAACCCAGCCGAAGCATTGTGATCCATTTTGGAGGAATTTTGTTGTTGCATATTTTTTCTTTAGCTTACCTTCCCTTTTAGCTACATCTGTTTCGTTATACAATTGACAGGCTATGCAAAATAAAATTCTTAGCTATGCTCGAGCAGAAAACAGTGAACAGGCGAACAGAAAAGTTGCTATGGGAAGAAACAATTGAAAATATACAAAGTGCACCAACGAAGGATTAACAAAGAGAATGCAACCTTTAGCCGTGTTTTTTTTATTATTATTATTAGTAAGGGTTTGAGGTTGATGGTGGGGAAAGTACTTCAGTAAAAGTACGAGCCCATGATCAGGGTTTTTTCCTTTTTATTCCGCAGAAAGGAATCAGTTGTTTTTTATCCTTGTATATGAAATTTTGTGCAGCTATCACATGGCAGTGCTTGACCCTCCGGCGTCAGTCGTACTGCAAACGAAACACTCCCTTTTCGGTAAGTGAAACTAGGGTATTAGTTTAATGCGTTCATTTCATTAAACATCTAAAATGTCGGTTCTCGTTAGTAAAATTCTACATTTCTGTTTTGTTTTCAACAGTTTACGACAAATAGTACGCATGCATTGTTACATTTGGAGAACCTCTTAATAAAATTACCCACATTTCTGAATTAAGTTCAGTGAGACATTGTTTCAATGTAGGAGCTGTTTTTGTTCTTCGGCTGTGGCCGTTTACTTTCTCGTTATAACGGGAGTTTTTGCTTAATACTTTACAGTTAGTTAATAAAACTTTGAATAAAATCAAAGCTTGCTAACTGAACGTAGCAAAGTTAGTATATCAGTTGAGCTTGTCAAATGGCACTTGTGTTTTGATGATCTTAATCGATGAGCAGTTGTCATCATTAAGACTGAATTCTTATAAATCAGCTTTATGGTCTTCCACAACAGCGCCTTTGCAAACACCATGATCTTAATTGCCATTATACTTTAATAGCTTGTATTTTAAAAGCCTTGAATAGCAAAATGTACAGAGAAATGACTACTGAAAGGTCGAGAAATGCTATGTTGTGCAGTTGTTAGATGTTGAGTCCCTTTTGTAAGAATGAACAGGCACGGATCATGAAAATGATTCCTTCGAAAATGACTAGATTAAAATGAAGCTAAGAAATTTATGAGAGCTTTTATCTCCTTGCATATGTTTGATGTCCGCAATTGCTGAAATAACTGTAGAGAAACTGATTTGTCCGCCATCTTTCTTTCAAGCAGAGCTCAGACGAAGAGAATTAACAGGGTGGCCAAGATTATAATTGACAACAGGACAGTTTTCAGGCATCCCAACCGAAGTTTAGTTGTAATGCATTTCCAGTTTGGAATTTCCTCTCTGTGTTGGCTGGTAAACAGCTCAAGTACGTCTAGATTCTTACAACCCAGCTTGTCAATATTTTAAGACTACAAAAGACCGCTCGAGACCACAAGTATGCAATCACCTTGTTTGCTGTTATCGCAAGCTTTTATGTGTTGTGCGGTTTAGACACGAGACCTAGAGGATGTAAGTTAATCAGCTTCAAGTGTTAAACCTCGTTTCTCGAGAGCTAATCCATGCAAGTGTTGCGCAAATTTTATCGCCAGTATTGCCCTAAATAGACTTTCAGTTACCACCTTTTCACATGGCACGATTTACCAACGACATCAATCTCTGTCACTGTGGAGTTAAGATCACACTAGGGGGCTAAGAGAGGACTTTAATTCGCAGAAATATCTGAAGTCCAAATGGAAATGACATTTTTCATTTAAATTACGTGAGTAATTTCAATTCTTACGAATGTTTAACCTTCGAGTTCCAAATAATTAGAGAAGCCCAGATTGTAAGCAGCTATTGCACTGCAATCTTTTGATTACCTAGATTATGGAACTGAAATATATTTTGTTTTCTATTCCACTCAGCTGACCTCTCTAGCTTTGAAACTACACAGAAATGCTTGCTAAAGCGCAGCACAACTATATATCATGTTTATCAGTACTGGACAAACAATTCAGCACTGAAGTGTGTATATGGTGGTTAACAAAGAATATATATTCCAAAGAGCTGGGAAAAAAAGATATGAACGTTCATAGTATTCACTTATCATAATTGATCTGCAAGACTATTCAGCTATGTGCTCCATTTTTGAGCGAATTATTCTATTGAAAGACCCGAGATTTTTGCACTAAGCAACCACGTAGGTCATTGTGAATCTATGTTGATCTTCCTCCCAAGCTTATCTTTCCCGAATAACAGCATAAACCTGGAACTTGGTTATAACAAGTCTGAAGACAGATTCCAAGATCAATAAGTGATATCTTACATTACCGACACTAAATAATTTCAAATTAGTTGACGAAGAAGCACTTGACATTTATAAATGCAAGCAGATCAAGGAGATACTAGCCTAAAATGAGGATGTTCTCTAACGAGGTCACTGTCTCCTTGGATATATGCCTGTACAGCGTCCCAACCGTTATATCTCGCCAGCAATTTGTATAACTACATGGTGAAAGCAATTTTAAAATTCCGTTATGTGCTTTGATTTGGCTATTCCTCGGATGCTTCCTATTTGTAGTCCTGGCTTATCTGCCCCGGTCTAGATTTTAAAGTAAACTTTCCTGAGCACTGCAACTCATGTCTTCAATCGTCTGTAAATTCTCTGGTCATTGCCTTTGTTTGCTGATATTTACTGGTACTAGAGTTTCTAAGCAAGATCTCGAGGCTTAAATTCTGAACACTGACAAAGGTATGGCGAGTCTAACCACAGATGTGTGATATAGTACCGTGTCTTGTCTGGAGTATTGCATTGTTAGTCATTTCTCCGCAGTACTAGCGAGCTAATAAACGCCGCACAAACTCATCTGAGGTGCGTGGTAGTCTACGTAATAAATACTTCAAGTGTAGTAATAGCACTTAAGGAGGTGTGATCTTTAATAAACATCAATAAAAGCATTAGATAGTCTCATTACCTTGTTCACAACTCGGCAGTAATTGCGCTGCGCTTTCCATGACTTGACGTGGGTGCTCTGGATGATCTAGCGCTCCAGACTGTTGAGGAAGATGATGGAGAACTGGCACTTCGTCTCTGGGACTCATCTCCATGAACCTTGGATCTCCATAGTGCGTTAACGGCTGAGGGATATGGCTGTAAGAAGGTGAGTTACTCGGTGGATAGCTAGGAGTACATGGATAAGCGTTGTAGGAGTAACGAGAAGGGGGGCTATAAACATAGGGAGGGTGAGACAGCGGCGGTGGACTGCTGTGTGATTCTTGTGGAGTAATAGGGTACGGAGGCCGGCTGTAGTTAAAACTTCGCGGGTACATGATATCCGAAGGTCGAGTTTGTGTTTCCTGACCGTTCGCAACGCACGCTAAACGAGCACGGTTTGCAACGACCGTGCTAAGAGGTACATTTATCGCGCAGTCGCTACTTTGGCTGAAAGCGATACCCAGCCGCCACTTTTGAAAGTGTAATCGATACAAGTTATTGTCTGTCGGTGCAGCAGTCCTAAAACTTTATCCTTCAGCATTCCTTTGCAAAGGATATTTCTGGAGAGCGCGGCCTTTCGTCGATTAGCTCCGAGGGAAGCGATTAATTTCAACGGAGATATTTTTATGCGCAAAGGAGATGAATTCTGTCAGGTTAATATGGTCGGCTTGTCGAGAGCTCTTCAGCGACAATCAAAACAAACATTGGGTATAATCTGATAATGTCTCTTTCCTAGTCCTATCCTTTCATGTGCCGCGTTCTCTTCAGCTGTTTAACGCATTAGCGTTGCACAACTCATCTCCCGTCCAGCTTTCGCATCGCTAAATCGTTCATTTGCCTGGTGCTAATGCGTCTTTTATTCTCACATGTTGGTTTTCTTCATCAGAAGTAAACGAATGGCAGCGAAATGTTGTTATGTGGTTCGCGCATGTGTAAACAGCTACAAAGTGAACGTGTGACTGTTTTGCAAGCCGTGCGACGTGTTTTTCAAGAGGCGGCATCTGAACAACACACCATGACACGTGATTCAACCAAACGTCACTTGCCTCTGAAAAAATCTGTCGTGAAAGTGTCTTTTAACAGAATAAATGTATGACATTGACTAGATTTTTTTCGACGATCTCTTAAAAGTTCAAATAGATCAAACATGTCATGACACCGGATTTATTGCCCAATTACGCGCCGTCCATTGTAACGGGCAATCTTATTTTAGAAGGTGTAGTTACTATAAAGTAGCGCCTTGTCGTGAAAGTTATGAGAAGAGCCGGTGATGGCTTGCACCTGAACACTAAAAATCCTTTTCCCGATCATGTTTCTTATTTACGCACGATCAGTCATAAAACTTTCGAGTGACCATTCCTAGATTTTCAATTTGACGCTTTACTTGAATTTCTGTAAGTACTTTTACGAGAATTTTGTTCGTTAACAATCGGCTTCTAAGTGTTGCTTCCTTTATAAAATGGCCTTGTTGATAGAGGGTCGCATAAACAAGGCATCCATTGTGTGCACTTAACATAACGGAAAGAATGGCTAATATAACTTATCTGCCTTATCAAACTACGTGGAAAGCTCATAAATAACGCACTGGATTTCGGCATTCAAGACCACCCTTCAGAAAACCAGAATTAATTTCTGGGCGGAAGCCTTGTAAAATTTTGACAGACCTCTTATCTAATTGCTTTTCAACTTTTTTCGGTTTTAATTAAAATTGAATGGCATGTGTTAAAGCTCTTTATCATTACCAGATTGTATTTCATCAGCCCTTCATAAAATGATAGCAATCTTAAGCCCCAGTTTCAACAAGCGGCACTGCAAGTTCGTGAAGACCGCTTCACGCCGCCTTCTCTATCCGACGCAATTAAGAATTTCTCACGATTTTAATGTCTTCCTTATGTGAAGAAAAATTCGATGCGTTTGAAAAGCCACACAGACTAAAGAATTCTTTTAGACACCTGTTCTACGCGAATTAAACGATTTGAACACGTAAACTGTGTGTTAGGAAAACTCCAGGGCAAGAGAAGTCGAGTGAATACAAATATTTTTTTAAGGACTTCACAGTTCACACATTTTGTTTACAAACAAAACTAATAAAGCAAAGTTTCAAAAAAATTGAAGAAAGAAAATCATTAACTCAAATAGAGTTTCGATTTCCTTGCGCAATTATAACCGCATATTTCTTAGGCTTTAAAAATGCAAAAAATAACAAATGACTAGTGAAAATAAAACAGATTGAGTTTTCAGTCTGTTAACAAAAACTGGAGATAAGATAGCAATTAACAGCGTTTTTTTCTGGCAGCCAGGAAAGAAACAGAAGATGAATGTTCGTGATAACTGCAGCGAGATGAGAGTTTATCAATAATCATTGTACGTAAACAAATAACGCAATATAGAAGAGAAATGTCAAGAGCAATGGATCAACTCTCTTGAGGGTATTGCCTGTTCATTTGACCAGCGTGTGTGGCATGCGAGAGAGGAAAAACACGCAAATTACACTGAATGTGGTTCCTTTTTCGACGCAAATCTTGTGGCATTCAAAATGACGTGCATAGTGGCATAGCGGTTGGCGTGCGTTGGCGAATGGGAGCATACAACCTTTCGTCCCGTATTCTGTTTAGAGATT